GACACACTGGACCCGCTGCGCCACTCCCGATACTTTTCGTCGGTGGACCTCAAGAGTGGCCAAGGGCATGTCGAGGTTGACGAACGGGACCGAGAAAAAACTGTCTTCGTCAAGCCGGATGTACTGTACGAGTTTTAGGTGATGTCCTTTGGACTGTGCACGGCGCCGGCAACGTTTCATCGTGTTATAGACACCATACTGGCAGCCCTCAAATGGCAGAGCTGTTTTGTTTACACTGACAAAGTCGTGGTATTCTGGGCCAACTTCTACGAGCACTTGCGGCGCTTTGGGGCCATTCTTCAAGCAGTCAGGACCGCCGGACTCGCCCTCAAGCCGATGAAGTGCCGGTTCGAAAACCGCCGGACTCACTCTAAAGCCGACGAAGTACCGGTTAGCCTACGGCGAAATGAAGTTCCTATGTCCCGTTGTGAGCAACGAAGATGTTTGTCCTGACCCTGAGAGCACTCGCGTCGTAGCGGCATTTCCTCCGCCCACCGACAAAAATGCCGGCTGAAGATTCCTGGTGCTTTGTGCGTAATGCCAGCGGTTCGTGGGGGATTTCACCAAGCTTTCTGCGTCGCTCACGCACCTCACTAAAGACGCCTTTAACTTCAGTTGAGAAGAACAACAACAGGTATTCGACGAGCTAAAGCGACAACTCCTATCGCCACCGATTCTTGGCCACTTCGACCAGTCAGCCGAAACAGAAGTTCACATGTACCCCAGCAATAGAGGAATTGGCTCAGTACTGGTTCAACGACAGGAGGGTACAGACTGCGTGATCGCCTACGCCAGTCGGACGTTGTCGAACGTGGAAAAAAAAATGACTCGACGAGCGAGAAGGAATGGTTTGCCAATATCTGGACGATCACGAAATTTCGCCCGTACTTATACGGGAGCCCTTTTCGAGTGGTTATCAACCCCCACTTGCTATACAGGTTAGCGAGCCTGAAGGACCCATCGGGACGCCTCGCCCCGATAGAGACTGCGATTTTAAAAGTACGACGTGACCGTGGTCTACGAGTCAAGCCGAACGCACAGCGACGCCGACTGCCTGTCCAGAGCCCCCGTCGAGTCAGGTACCGGCCGCGCCGTAGACGACGACGGCGACGATCCCTTTTTTTGGCGAAGTGAGCGTTAACAGCATGACAACGCCCCAGCGGGACGATCCTGAGCTGCGCGTGCTGATCGACCACTTGGAGGAACGAGGGGGTATCATTCCTCGCGTTTTCTCACGTGCCCTGCCAAGATTTGCCGTCCGGAGAGGTATTCTCTACGCATAGAACTTCGGGGACAGCAGCTCCACGTGGCTCCTGCTAATTGCTGCTATCATCGAGAAGAGATCTCCCAAGCCTTCCACGACAACCCGACATCAGGTCACCTTGGCTACAGCAGGACCCTCGCAAGGATCCGAAAGTAGTACTACTGGTCCAAGCTCTCGATGACTGTTTACCTTTACAGACGCTCGTGCCACGAGTGCCAGCGACGGAAGAAGCCGCCACCGAAGCCGTCAGGCCTCCTTCAGCCGATCACGTGTCCGACTAGGATATTCAAATGAATTTACTCAAATTTTTCCTGCCGTTGAGGCAGCGAAACCATTGGATAATCGTGGCAAATGATTATCTTACCCGGTACGCTGAGACAAAAATACTCCCGTCGGGAACCGCTGTAGAAGTAGCCAAGTTCTTCGTCGAGTCCATCATCCTCTGACATGGCGCTCACAAGTCCTGATTACGGACCGAGCCTCATCGTTCAGAAAACAACTGACACAACATATACTCCGCCTGAGCCACTCCGCCACCGTCGAACAACGGCATACCACCCGCAGACCAATGGGCTGACGGAGCGATTAAACAAGACCGCCAACCTGATCTCGATGTACTTGACGCCTAACACAAGACGCGGAATAAGGTGTTGCACAATGTCATGTTTGCGTACAATAGAGCGGTTCAAGAAACCACTGGGATTTCACCATTTCATCTGGAGCATGGCAGTAAGGTGACGGCGATGCTGGACGCCATGCTGCCCCACGACCTGACGGACGACGGCACCGACGCCGGCCAGATGGTCAGCCAACGGGCAGAAGAGGTACGCCCGCAAGCCCGCCTTCAGATAAAGCACCAACAACGTGTCGACGTTGGCCGATAGACTTTCGTCGCCACGACGTGGAGTTCCAGTCCGGAGGCGGGGTGGGGTGTGAACGCCCATACGCCACCGCGGTCTCAGCGAGAAACTGTTGAAACGCTACTTTGGACCCTACAAGGTCATTCGCCGCCTTGGGGACTTGAACTACGAGTTGCTCCCCTGCGGAACCCGATCATCAGGACTCCGCAAGCCACGATCAGAAGTGGACCACGTAGTTCGACTCAAACCGTTCTATGCGCTTTAGCATTGTGACGCTGTGTGTTATTTTGTCTCTTCCTATTAGTTTTTTTTTGCCACTTTTGCGTTACTTTAGAGTTGCATCGGGACGAGGCACTTTTAAAGTGCTGGGGAGGGGGATATAGCGCGCGCAGAGCCGAAAAAACAACGCTCGGTCGCGGAATTCTAGAAGATTCGCGTTTATGCTTTCTCGGGACGTAACTTTTATTGTTTCATTCTAGTTTCTTGCTTGCGAAAGTGCTTGTGCATTTTCACCCCGAACACTCGATGCTCGGAGCTTCTGTGCCTAATTTTCGTGAAGCCGACGAGTAGATAAGGAGCTGCCCGTGACCTTGCCGAGTCAGTCTCGCTCCCGCTTGCTATAACGCCGCCAAATCGGCACGCGCTTTTCTGCTGTCTCGGCGCGTCTTTTTTTTTATTTTGTTGGACACAGGTTCGCCGATTAGATCTTCATTTTCAATTTACATTTGTCGAGCTCTTTTGCATCCGTGATAATGTGAAGAAGCTATGTTACCTTTCAACAAACGCGCTGCGGGCAGCGCGTGTGTCGCGATGCAAATCTTCGACACCGCGAGGGTCGCTGCAGTCTGCAGACGAAAAGAGCAGACGAGTCTTTTTCATCGCAGTTCTGCAGCCCTTCGCTTTCTCCCGGCAAAATTCTGCTTCCAGCAACCATAGCCACGGTTTGTTTGGAGCGGAGCGCCATGTTTTGACGTCATCACTAACGGTGTCGATTTGTCGTACACACACACGGCATTTCATGCGTGCCTGGCGGGGCCAACATTTCTAATTTTCGTTCAAGCTGCAAGGTGGTTCGTGGTTATCGCATAATAATAACTCGGAGCGACGCCGAACCCACTGCGGTAAAGTTCGGGATTAATTTATGGTGCGTCATGTAGCTTTTAAGATTCTAGGGAGCTAAATATCATCTACGCTTGCACCGCGACTAACTTCTTGCGAGTGCGGATCTTGCGATCCTTCCCTCTAGCAAAACTCACATGAAATAAATATTAGGCAGTTTTTTGTAGATTGTTCCGAAACCTCCGCTAAGCGCTCTTTGCTAGCGTACATTCCTAGCGAAAAATGCTCTTGTTCATTGGGAAATAGTTTCGCAGTTCGGACCACCGTTCTTCGCTAGCAGATGATCCGGAAAGACAGAGTGATGCAACGATCGCTGGAGACAATATATCTCGTCCGCAAAGTGCTTTAACTTATACTTCACGGCAAAATAGAGAGGGGTCATTGAATGTACCGCAGGTGACGCAGAGCGGTGTTCGCACTCATACTGATCGTGATAGTATTAGTAACTTTAGCAATGAGCTAAGAGGTTGTTGATGTTCAGTTGGGGGGGGGGGGGGGGTAGGGTTGCAGTTACCTCTGTCACAACTTGCATTGAGGTGCTTATAGGGAAATAAAAGCGAGCACAGACGGCTCAGTGAGATTTTCCTTTTTTCCCTTTCTAAGAGTGGCAGACGGAAAAAGTGCTTGCATTTGACAGTAACCTATAGTCGTTTTTAAATCACGCTTGACCGCTCCAACCCCGAAATTCTACGTAGTTTTAAACGACTACTACATAGGGCACGGGACGCGCGCTGCGATATAAACAACGAGTTGACAGCATTTTTTTCCGTTTTTCACTGTACCACTCCGGCAACGAACAAAACCTGTTGAATAATGCTTCTGAGACACCGAACGATATATTACCTCTGAAGGTAGCCTAAATGAGGTTTTTCTTAACTTAGGGGTGGAGCCAATGCGTGCGAAGAAACGCATTGAATGCGGTCAAATTAGAAGGGGAGCATCCTCCCTCCTTGGATAGGAGATGTTTCGGTGGCGTCCTCTGAAGATTCCTACCAGTGACGTCGCGACCGCTTCAAAACGAAAAGTTGATGGTGTGCGTCAAAATGAAAGCTAATCTTTTTTTTCTATTGTAGACGTATAGTGAGCGTCGGGCTACTATCGGAAAGGGAGAACGGGAACGCTTTTGCTGGGCGCCTGTTGCCACCAGACCTTTCCCGAAAATCCCACAAAGCATCTCGGCAACCGCACATTGGAGCGCATGGTAGGGGAAAAGGTTCGGCCGTTCCGATGTTCTCTCGGGTAAGCTCACAGGCTCCGTACATAGTGGAATTGGCTCATTTCCTTATTTCTGATCACAGCGAGTTCAGGACACAAAGAAAACAAAGCAAGCAGACCCCAAAGACGTTAAGTAGCTTCTGTTATCGAACCGCATATTTGGCGTTCTGAAATTGCAAAATACTAAACAAGCATAAATCGCTCCGTTTATTTACGACTGTATCCCTTCAAGCGTCGTACATAGGATTGCTCTGTTGTGTCGAAAAGATTATGAGCGGCACTGCGCATTTTCAGAATGCGCTATTGTGATTCTCGACTAGCATGACACATTTTCACAGTGAAAGCATATCTGACTTCATGATAGGGCTTCATTTCTGAATCATTCTCAGCAGCTAGAAGCCAGCATTGGTCTTGATAACCTTAAAAAAAGAAAAAAAAATCACGTATTTATATTGCCTTGTTAATATTTCGTATATTTCAGATCCGAATAAGGGTAACCTATTGTACGGCGTTTTTCCCAAAGGAGGCAGGCTGTGCGTTACCTTCAAAAGTTTATCGCAGTCTTGGACGGTACTTCTTTGGGTAACGAAATAGTCGTGCACTTGGAACTTAAGCAGTCCGTAGTGCCTGATGTTCATGTTCCATAAATCTCTAAATGTGTTCATACCAAGTGCTTTGTTGAGGTCGTCGTATGCTCCAAGGGCATTGCTGGGAGAAATGACATATATGTATGAACTCTAGTTAACACTACTCGATTCAGTTTCCACTTAAAGAACACCGTTTTCAGTTAACAAAATATGCGGGTAAAAATTATTTGAAAATATACCGCCGCTTAACTAGGGCGGTAATTCTTTGCATTATATCCCCAGAACCAACCTCAAACGAAGCAACTCATGCACTCGTTTACAATTTATCTAAAGAAACCAAGCCCCTCACACATACCGGGTGTTTCAGCGAAGGGTTTCAAAAATCCCGTATAAAAGGGTGGCTGAAAAGAAACAAATGAAGCTATTTCCGAATGGACGTCAAGGAATGCAAAAAATACTAATCACCAAAGTAATTACCTAAAATATACTAATATACATTAATTACTGAAAATAAATACGGTTTCGAAAAGAATCTCGATGAGCATCATAGATAACCACTAAATCACCTCATTTTTATAAAAATGTAGTAAGGATGATGCAGCATTTTACAGTGTTCCAAAAAAGAAAAAAGAACGCTCAGTTTGGACCCATGTTAAGGTTTGGGTTGTCCTGTTGGACGGTATCGTTGTGCCCAAGGTCCTGATCCCCAGTCGCCGAGACATGCAACGCGTGTGCGCCGTACTTCCCTCCATCTTACGAGTGAGGCGAGGCGGTGGCTTCGCGCCGTTGCCATCAAAGAGCAGGATGGCAGGCGCAAAGTTCCGCTCCGCTAAGAAATGGGAGCCTAGAGGCGCGTCCAAAGTGATTTTTTTTTTCTTTTCACTGTCGGAAGGCTATCAAATCTGGCCCTTTTCTTTCTAAAATTAATAAATTTAGTGGTGTTCGATGATGCTTGGCAAGTTCCTATTAAAAGCCACAAGTTTATTTTTTTCTGATTGAGAATCTAATTATGACCTGTCTAGTTAATTAGTCTGTTCTGGGCAGTCTTTGACGTCTGTCCTGGCTGGCAGACTCTTTCGGGAAAGGGTTTTTTTTTCAGGGATTTTGAAAAACCTGCGCTGAAACATCCGGTATAAGACCTTTAAGTAAAATACATCTGCATTTCGTTAATATTTTTGCGCTCTTTTTGTCACTGAGAAAGGCTGTTGGGGCTCAAGGACCAGGTTATAACTGAAATTTACAAATTTATTTGTCACTACAAAATGTGCTCGTGCATTATTTGTACACGACGCGAGTATTCCGTTTATGAGCTTGAAAAGCAGTGGACAACCCCAGTAGTGATACTTTTGACCTTAAACGGTTCGAAAGCGTCTGATCAACGTTTTTCACGCCGACAGCTGGCGCGCGGTGGGAGGGATGTGAGCACTTGTCAGGCAAGTTCAGCGGTTTCCAGCCTTTACACCACCGCAGAAGGATTAGCGTTTTCCACAATTTACATCAAAGCATTTAACGACCAACTGTCGTGAAAAACAAACTTATCCGCCTCCAAACCGAAATTGGTTGCACCCTCAAAGCCTAATTTTTTTCCTCCGCCGCGGAGCTAGCGTCAACACGCCGCATCGCAAGAGCCTGGTGCTTTTGTACCGTGATGCGTATGCCGAGGAGGAACCCTCGGGTATTATCTCTCGTGTGAATACTCCTCTAAGCGCCGGATTATGTCACAAGCCGGTGAAACCGGAAAGCTTTATAAGGCTGTCAGTGGAGAAAGTTAACGCCCACGGAATTTCTTCGTTGTCCTTGTACTAGTTTATTCCTTGATTTAAAGAAAGAGAGCTGAACCTTTAAACATTTTTAGCACCAGCATTTCTAGAACAAGAAACTGAATTGGTGTGTAGGTTTGCGATGACCCATAAAGAAACACTGCGCGTGTTGCAATATGGGATGTTAAGGTAACAGCTTCTTGAAATGCGACTTCACGAAACACGGAAAACATATCCAAAGAACGTTTCACATTAAAAATAGATTTCTTGGTGCCATTCCATTGACGAAGAGACATTTACCACGCATCGTCTCAAAGGGGACTAACACTGATTTTCATTTTTTTTTAGAAACAACATATTAAACTTCTGCGGGCTAGAAACCTGCACCCACGAATGCCCTGGTATCCACGTCGAACCAGAATAATACCCGTAGTTAATTCCTATTCCGAACTGGGTGGTTCCGCTGTCGTTCCGGGCGAATTCCAGAAACCACTGCAACCCGACGGAGCTGCGGTCGAGAAAGGAGCCCCTCGCAGATTTGTAGAAGAAGTCCCAGAAAATGATGTCGCAGAGGCCTTCCTTGGGCCGCACTACAGACCGCCTCCAGCCACTCCCAAAGGTGCATAAAATAGTCTTGTTCGGCAGTGTCCCTGCAAAATAAAATGCTACATTAGGAACCAAAGCGAATGAGCGGGTCACTTTTTAAACAAGGGCTCCACCTAACGGGGCCCTAGTTGTGGAGTCCTATGGGCTTAACTGCTCCTAGGCGTCATTTACTGCCAAAGTACTTTTCTTAGCCTTTCTCAAGGCTCTTCCCCGATTCGCCACATAAGCACCAAGGTGCCATAGATGAGCCATAGATGCCGCGTATCAACCGAAGAAGCCGCAGTAAAGCCTAATTCAGGCATTCGTATAAGAATGTACACTGTTAGAAAATTCCATCAATCTACGTGGAAAAACCGAATAGAACATGTCCGATTTTCTGAAAATGCATATAATGTGCTGTTTGTTTTCAAAAACGGGAACTGTACCATATGCATTGAAATGTGCTATTTAAGCAATAAATATGAGCTTATCCGTATCAATAAAAAAGCCTTACAAGATTGCAGTTTATAGTCGGTTCAACTGGTATAAGCGAATTGAACACGCCCAAAAGCGCCGGATATCCAGCAATTTTTATGGAACTCTACCAGATCGCGGAAGTACAGCGCCCGTGAGCCGTGTTACGCCGCGCGCAGGAAGACATCTCTCTCCCGCGCATGCGCAAGCCGCTGCCGGCCAGCGTGGGCCCGCGGGCTGCGGAATGCTGCTACCCGTTCGGAAGGCGAGTTCGACGTTGTTTTCGCGTCGTCAGCGGCGTTCTACGGTGCGTAGACGGCTTCGTTTTCCAAGGTACGTATACGTTAAGTTGTTCCTAACGCAGTGTTAGTTTACTATCTCTAAAGGTGTCGTATATTCCAAGTTTGGGATGCACATCGTGTAGCGTCTCGTCTTTCCAGCCGCATAAAGCTAAGCCTTTTATAGTTCCTGATTTGGGGCGGCATACTGCCCGACCCTACTTAGTAGTTGGGCACAAGGAGAACACGGTTTCCGCAATATTCCCGCATTATTATGCCAAGCCGCTGTCAACATGCGTGACTTCAGCGCGTCGAATTAAACAAGTTCCGCCGCCAACTTCAGCCTCACATGGTTCAAAGTTCAGCGCTTGATCGGGGAGGGGGATGGGGCAATCAGAGAATGAGGGAAGATCGGATTAGAAGACGTGAACATTGGTCAGTTATGTTTTAAGGAACGACGTATATTCCTAAGGTCGAAAGCGTAATGTATTCTCAATACAGCGTTCGATAAACGGAGCTTGTTTTTAACTTTTTTTTTTTTAATGCGTCTGAAAGCATAGTGGAGCACTGCGTTCCTCAGCTGCTTGACCGTGTGAGCGATCTTGGCAGCTTGCCGAATATGCGGCCAAATAAAGGTGGCACCTGCTTGATGCAGAGAAATAATGCAGGCTTTTGCATCTTAGGAATAGTAACGCATTATCGTGCGATATTTTGTGTCGCCCAGTAAACTTATCCGCGTTGTGACAGTAATCAATCATTGTCTTGCTAATACTCGTGTGTGCGCCGCGGATGCTCCGTCACTCCGAATGTTTTGTGGGCTAAATTGATGCCATTTTTTCGGGACGGATATTTCCGAAATAACTTGGGCTACTGATAGACGAATCGAATATACTTCGAAATTACCCCGGTCGAGTCGAAACCTCTGTTGTAATAGGTGGTATTCACCGGACGCCACATTGGAGCTCTCTGAACGCTGCGCATGCTCAGAGTGAACTCCCACTTATGCCTGAGAAGGACACCCTGTCACGATCTTTCTCGAACGTGGACGAAGGGGGCCGAAGCACCCGCCGAGAAGAGACGACACGCACCCTGGTTGTGAGGGTGGACGATGACTGGCCGCGGAGCGGCGTGCGCTCAACGGCGTTTATTGGGCGCGGTGAACAATGTTGCCCGCCGAGCCAGGCGGCCGCAGACGGGCGGACTGGAGGGGGGCGCCACTAACTTGTTACACTCCTCCCCCCCCAGTTTGTTTTTCCTAAAAACAAAATACATGAATAAACACACACGGCCGACACCATCTCGGTGTCTGGTCATGCAAAGTCCCGGCCTGTCGACGATGAAGGTCACCCCGGCGAGTAGCGGTCAGGTTGCCTCCGCTGCCGTGCACTCCGCCTGGGCACTGGTGTCGACGGGCCAGGTGTGGCAACACCGGGCGCTGCCTGAACCGGTCGCGCTCCACCCGGTGGAGCTGCAGGGACCGGATTTGTGAGTGGCACTGGTGCCACAGGAGTGGCGACGCTTGTCGCCTCCGGGGTGGATGGCGCTCCGCCAGCCGCTACTTGTGCTGTTGTTGGGCCCCCTGCAGGCTGGTCCTCTGAAGCGACGGCCGAGGGTGGAAGCCAGGTCCCGAGGCGAGGCCTGACATGGTCGGCGTGCCGGTGCCAGGTGGTCCCGTCGGGCATGCGGACGAGCAGCGACGAGGCACTCGCTGGTGAAACCACACGCCCGGCAGACCAGGGTGGGCTAGGACGGAAGTTCCTGGCGTACACCGACGCTCCCGGCTCCGGCAAAGGCCCGGGACGGCGCCCTCGGTCAGCAGCCAGCTTCTGCTTCAGCTGCTTCAGGAGCGCCGAGGACCGGAGGTCTGGGTGCAAGACGTCCAAGGGTGTCTTGACCATCCGGCCCAGCAGAAGCTCGCAGGGGGCACGGCCAGTGACCTCATGCGGTGTGGTCCGGTACTGAAATAGTACCCGGGCCACCTGAGTACGGAAATCCCCGGGCTGGCTCTTCTTGAGCTTGTCCTTGATGGTCTGTACCACCCGCTCTGCAGCACCATTGGAAGCGGGGTGGTACGGCGGAACCAGCATCCGGCGGATCCCATTCCTCTGCAGCCAGTCCAGGTACTCGGCGCTAGCGAAAGCGGGACCATTGTCGGACACAATGATGTCCGGCAATCCCTGCGCCGCGAAGACCTGCCGCAGAGCCGCGATGGTCGCGCTTGCCGAGGGACTGGTGACTGGCAGTGCCTCCACCCACTTGGAGAAGGCGTCCACTACCACCAGGAAGTAGTGGCCCTTGAAGGGCCCCGCATAGTCCACGTGCAGGCGGGACCAGGGCCTCTGTGGGAACGGCCAGGCGGTGATCACCAAGTGGCGCGAGGCTCGCTGGTTCTCCTGGCAGACATGGCAGCCTTGCACCTGGTGCACGATGTCCTGGTCCAGGCCAGGCCACTAAACGTGCGACCGTGCCACCATTTTGGTCTTTTCAATGCCAGGATGCCCCGCGTGCAGCAACTGCAGCACCTTGGCCCGCAGACTTTGTGGAATCACCACCCTGGAACCCCACAGGAGGCAGCCCTGCTCCAAGCTCAGCTCGGCGGTCTTGTGGCTGAACGCCTGGTGACGCAGCTCCTCCCCTCGGGCAACCGTCTTGACCACCTGAGACAGGACCGGGTCCCGGCTGGTCGCCTGCGCCACCACAGTCCTGGTCAGCACCCCCGGGTAGGCCCGCTCCAGCAGGAAAACGTCAGCTGGCTCTGGAACGGCAGCAGGCACCTCCGGCAGGGGCAGGCGGCTCAGGGCGCCGGCAGGTCCTAGGTCCTTCTCAGGGCGGTAGACCAGCTTGTACCTGTAGGCCGCCAGCGTCAAGGCCCAGCGTACCACACGAGGCGATGCTTGCACTGGGACTGCCTTGTCAGGTCCCAGCAGCCCCAGCAGCGGCTTGTGGTCCGTGACTGCCTCGAACTGCCGGCCCCACAGGTACTGATGGAAGCGCTGGACCCCGAAGATGAGGGCCAAGCCTTCCTTGTCGAGCTGGCTGTAGCATTGCTCCGCCGCATGTAGTCGACGAGAAGCAAACGCCACAAGGCGTTCCTGACCATCCTGACCCCGGTGCGACAGGACGGCTCCTACCCCGTACGGCGACGCATCCACGGTGAGGACTACAGGCTTGGCCGGGTCGAAGTGCACCAGCACTGGAGCCTTAACGACCAGCTCGTTGCTGCGCTGGAAGGCCAAGTCCTGCTCCTTCTTCCAGGCCCACTGCTGACCGTCACGAAGCAGATGATGCAGCGGCTCCAGATGCGTCGAAAGGTTGGGCAGGAACCTCCTGTAGAAGTTGATGAGGCCGAGGTAGCTCTCAAGCTCCTTCTTGCTCTTGGGCTTCGGCGCCTTGAGCACGGCCTCAATCTTGCGGGGTGCCGGGGCCAGGCCAGCCTGGGAGATGATGTGTCCCAGGTACTCCACGCTGGGGGTTAGGAACACGCACTTGTCCAGCCTCAGCTTGAGACCGGCGTCCTGTAGTCGTGTCAGGACTTTGCGCAGGTTCTGCAGGTGGTCCCCGTCGTCGGTACCGGTAACCAGGATGTCGTCCAAGTACACCGCCACGTGCCTCATGCCCCTGAAGAGGTTGTCCATCTCTCTCTGGAAGATGGCTGGGGCTGAGGCCACGCCGAACGGTAGGCGCGTGTACTGGAAGAGTCCCATGGTAGTCGAAATGGTGACATACTTCCGGGCGGCATGCTGGAGCACCAGCTGCTGGTAGCCATCTCGAAGGTTGAGCTTGGAGAATTTCTGTCCCCCGGACAGAGCCGACCAGAGATCTTCTACCCGAGGCAGCGGGTACTTCTCGACGGTAGCGACGGGGTTGATGGTGACCTTGAAGTCCCCGCAGATCTTGACGCGGCCGTCTTGCTTGAGGACTGGAACGATCGGTGCAGCCCACTCGGAAGACTTGACGGGCACCAGGATTCCCTCTCGCTGCAGCCGTTGCAGCTCCTGGGTGACCCCATCCTTCAGGGCGAACGGCAGCGGACGCGGCTTGAAGAACCGAGGCCGGGCTTCCTCGGGTACATGGATGCCAACCGTCGTGCCGGCGAAGGTGCCCACCCCTGGCTGGAACAGGGACTGGAAGTCGGTCAGGAGGCGCGGGACGTCCTTCACCACTTGCAGCGCAGCTTCTTGGTACTCCGGCAGCCGAACACCCAGCGAGTGAATCCAGTTCCGGCCCAGCAGCGTCGGCGACGACCCCTTGGTTAAGTAAAGGGGAAGGATTGCCTCCCTGTCGCCAAGGCGAACGCTGACTTGGGCCCAACC